AGGAAAATGAGTATTTGGAATTGGGGCTGTTAAATTTCCACTTAGATACAGGTAGTGATTGTTCTACTTCCTGACAGATCCTAAGACGACCCGTTGGGATTAAGAATTAACTTTCTTTCCTAGTGATGTGGGAAAGTAGTGCTCTGAGAGCAGAATGGCAAGTTTTAGAACGCAGGTTATATTTATGTCGGAATCCACAGACAATCTTAAATGCTGATCGTTTGCAAACGTTAAAATGACCTTGAAAAGTAACATTTATGACGACAAACTTTGCAGGTCATTCGGGGGATGCTGTGCTGTTACTATGGTAAGTAATTCTTGGAAAACTGGCACAAGAACACACCTGTCGCTGGCACGGAGGAGAGGTCACTTGCACAGCTCTATCTGTGTGACACAGAATATTAGGAGTAATGGATTCTGACGGTTTGAAGGCTCTGATCATCTGCTGCATAAAAACCACAGGAAGCAAGAAAACTCAAAAACAATTATCAGTGTCCTTACGGGGAATCTCATGGTGATAACTCACCACATTCCGTACAATTTCTTCAAGTCATGAAATATACTTCTACAAATGTAATGGTTCAATAAAGCAGAGGTTATAAGAGGGGGGAACCATAGGTGTTCACAGCAAATTTCATGAGGCTGTGCACCTAACAATTTTGCTTTCACTCTTTCAAAGACAAACATTTATTGAATACTCATTAACAAAGGCCATTATTGTTATTGATCAATATTATTTTTTGTCATTAATCGTCAATATGGATTTTAAATTTTACAAAGAGATTAGAACAGTAAGCTATACTGTAAAACAAATGAAATTGTGATATCCACATATAACGCAATCATTTACGAACAATAAATTGGAACAACACGTGAGCATGAATTATATCTGGATAATAGAAATTCTGGTTAAGATAGTGTGGGCTCTTGCTAGGGACTCATGGGAACGATTGGGAAACATAGAAACATAGAATGTGACGGCAGATAAGAACCATTCGGCCCATCTAGTCTGCCCAATTTTCTAAAAACTTTCATTAGTCCCTAGCCTTATCTTATAGTTAGGATAGCCTTATGCCTATCCCATGCATGCTTAAACTCCTTTACTGTGTTAACCTCTACCACTTCAGCTGGAAGGCTATTCCATGCATCCACTACCCTCTCAGTAAAGTAATACTTCCTGATATTATTTTTAAACCTTTGTCCCTCTAATTTAAGACTATGTCCTCTTGTTGTGGACATAGTCTTAAATTTTAAAGGCTCTTCTAAAATCCCTTCCCATGAATGAGCAGAGTGAAGACCCGCAATAGGGCCTAGTCCTCATGACCACCTATATCTACCTAGCTAGAGACAACAATGCCCATATCTGAAGAAACACAAGGGTGGTGTCCCATCGCTCATACTGCCGCTTTGGTATATAAAACCAATTTTCCTTCTGGATTTGACTCCTTCTTCCAAGCATGGGCCAAGGAATATCTGGGTGATAAACAATTTTTTTTTTAATAAAACCTTAAAAAACACATACAGCAAATGTTCATGATGTTCAACTAAACTGACTAGTTAAAATGTAGAAAACATATTTTTGTTACCCAGCCCACTCTGTCCTTTTTGAGGGCCCTTTTCCACTTCCCTCTCTTTGTCCTTAATGTTTTATTTGTTCCTCTGTCACACTTACTTCCCTTCCTCTGTCCCATTAATAATTCAATGTATAATTTGTCTCACATCCCTCAGTTCATTTTCTCCCTCTTTTCTCGTCCCTTACCCCTTCCATGTTTGCTACACTGTCTCCCTTGTAGTATACTCTCTGCAACCTTGTTTTTCCCTTCTGGCATCGCTAACTCCAGTCTTGCTAGCGTAGCTTAGCGCCAAATCACTGTTCTCTTTCTTGCTGCATAATATCACACCGTATTAGAATCTTGTACCTTAATACCTTTGTGACGTAATCACCATCACAGGGGGCTGAAGACGGACACTTTATGGAGGTTCCTAGATTACTCCTATGTTTTAGTCACCCTGTGCCCATTATACAGGTTGTGTAATGTTAGTTATTCTCATTTCCCCCTTTTCCTTGTTGTTTTCCCAGAAGGCCGTTGTCCTGTTGTTCCAGACTGTCATCTGCTGTATATTACCGTATTATATGTGTTTACATGTGTTTTAGGAATTTTCTTGTACTACAGGAGATAATTGTGTTAGCGAGTCTCTGTGTATAAAAGGTAAACAGAAGAGAATAAATGAGTTTATAATACAATAGCTATTGTGCAATGGATCTTGGTGTCAGGCAGGTAATTCAATTATGGACTCTTGCCTTAATTCTGTCCTAGACACCAAGACTCCAAGGAGTTACTTGTATTGTTTTGTGTGATGACCCCCTGTTGTGATTACTTCTATATAAACCTATGGTTCACTCAATGAAACAAGTTCTACTTCACCCTTCGCTAAGTCTCGGCTAGTGTTTGGGTGAGGCAGCTATGCAGCTATACACTCTGCAGGAGAGAGTGATCACTTGGACCTGCACCCAGTACCCTGCTCCAGGGTGGGAAGCTACAGAGAGGCCCCAGCCAAGCTGAGGCGGCCAGGGGCTGAAGCACTGCTGGTGTCCCGGTGATAGCTAGGAAGTGAGCTTGCTAGAGGTACCCAGTCGGGGTGCCAGGCGGTCTGTCACAACCTTCGTTCTAGGCTTTGCCACAGCTGTTCTGCACTGCTTCACACACCCCTATGGCCATGAATCCTGCCTAGCAGTTTCAGTTGGAAGCATATATATCTGATCTGTCAGAAAGGGAAGTTGTCAGAGCAAGAATTTATATCCTCCATTCGCCAGCCAAATATTCTATATTTTCCTATATATTAAAAAATTATACGATATACAGTTGCAAACTGGTACAAGTTTTTTTATTTTAGGTTTATGTATAGAGAGACATTATGTTGCATTTTCCTAAAAGCAGACCAATCAGTGGAGAAATCAATTTTAATATTAAAAAAAAAAAAAAACCAAAACATTTATACAACAAAAAATAAATAAATAAAGTAATCAAGTCTTATTTTTCTCAATTTCTTGAAAATGTGCAGTCAGGAAGTGGCTGATGATTTTCAGCCAATTCTGGACCTATTTTTCTCAACTGTACTTCAACAGAGTGTCATCTGAATGAAAACACCGTGCAAACGAAAAGACGTTGCATTACATTGCCAGTAAAATGTAGTGAAAGTACGTAAATGGGCAGAGGAGCGATCATATAGATATATATGATCCCAAAATACCAGAGTTATGCAGTGTACAATGATACATTTTTATTGGACTAACACAATATTTAAAATACAAGTAAGTCTCTTACTCAAGGTCTGAAGCAATATTGCAGAGAAACATAGAAAAACTCCCCAAAGCTTGTCCATTAAATACTATGGTAGTCCAATAACAGGGTATCATTGCCTACTCAGTACTCTGGTTAGTTTAGCATTTTGCCTACTGGACTAATACAGTTAACCCAATCTATTAATATGATATATAATCCAATCTAATATATACTAGTGTTCAAAAGTATAGGTTCACTTTCTGGGTTTTTTTTTTTTCCCAGTAATATAACATCAAATTGATCATACATACAGTACAGACATTGTAATCTAAACTGGAAAAGGCAGATTTTAGTGGAATAGCTACATTAGGTGTAGAAAGGCCCGTTACCAACAACCATCTGTCCTGTGTTCCAATGGCACGTTGTGTTTGCTAATCCAAGTTCATCAGGTAAAAAAGCTAATTGATCATTAGAAAAGGGTTTTTTTGCAATTATGTTAGCACAGCTGAAAACTGTTGTGCTGATTAAAGAAGCAATAAAATTGGCTTTCATTAAACTAGCTAAGCATCTGGAGCATCAGCGATTTTGAATTCGATAACAGGCTCGAAATGGCCAAAAACAAAGAACTTTCTTTTGAAACTTGACAGTCTATTCTTGTTCTGAGAATCTGGCATGAAACTGAAGATCTCGTACAATACTGTGTACTACTACCTTTACAGAATAGTACAAACTAGCTCTAACCAGGATAGAATGATGAATGGATGGCCCTGGTGCACAACTTTGCAAGAGTACAAACACATCAGTGTGTCTAGTTTGAGAAACAGACATCTCACAGGTCCTCAACTGACAACTTAATTAAATAGTACCCACATAACACCAGTCTCAATATCAACAGTAAAGACGTGACTCCGGAATGCTGTTCTCTTAGGCAGAGTTACAAAGAAAAAGCCATATCTGAGACTGGCCAATAGAAATAAAAGATTGAAATGGGCAAACAAACACAGACACTGGACTGGAAGATTGGAGGAAACAAAGTGTTATGGAAAGACAAATGTACGTTTGAGGTGTTCATATTATATTGAAGCTGCCTTCAACATGGATGCTGTCCAGGAAGTAGGAGGGTCTGGGAGGGAGGGTCTTCCGGAGATTGGCAGAGATGTGTCAGCTGACCGGAGTTCGCCACGAACGGTTCGTGGTGAACCGTGGCGAACCGTTCGCGGCAAGTTCGCGAACAGTTCGCAACATCACTAATTGGGGACCTGTGTTTCTGCCAGGTTAGTCTTGTGAGAAGTTTGGTAAATTACCACTGTTTTATTTTGATGCCTTTATATTGTCACTTTTTATTTTTTGCTGTATGCAATTTATGCCTATTGTTGGTTCATTAAATATTTGCATAACTTTCATTGTTGGTTCTAGTGTGCATTCTCTTTTCGGTAATATTCAGTTTGCAAAGAAGAACATTTGTGAAACGCAGACCATATAAAAAGATGCTGGAGGAGTGCTTGATGCCATCTATCAAGCATGCTGGACGCTACGTGATGGTCGAGGGTGCTTTGACGGTGGTAAAGTAGGAGATTTATACAGGGTAAAAAGGTCAATGACTCCATTTTGCAATGTCATGACAAATCCTGTGGACGACAATTGATTGGAGCCAATTTCTTCCTACAACACGACCCAAACCTTCAAATAATGCAAGGAAAATTTAGAGAAGAAGCAGTCAGATGGTATTCTGTCTTTAGTGAAGTGGCGAGCACCATTACCAGATCTCAGCTCTGTTGACAGTATGGTATTTAAGAAGTACCCAACTTCTGGGTGGTTCTACAGGAAGCATGGAGTGAAATCTCTTTTCACATTACCGCACCACATTACATAGTTACATAGATACATAGCTGAAAAGAGACTTGTGTCCATCAAGTTCAGCCTTCCTCACATAAGGTTTTTGCTGTTGATCCAAAAGAAGGAAGAAAAAAAAACCCAGTCTGAAGCACTTCCAATTTGGCAACAAACTAGGGGAAAATTCCTTCTTGACCCCAAAATAGCAGTCAGATATCTCTTTGGATCAAGCAGCTATTACCCCACTAATTAGAAATTATATCCCTGTATGTTATGTTTTGCAAGTGTTTATCCAAATGCTGTTTAAACATCTGTATGGACTCTGATAAAACCACTTCTTCAGGCAGATAATTCCATATCCTTATTGCTCTTACTGTAAAAAAAAACCCTTTTCTTTGCCTTAGATGAAATCTCCTTTCTTCCAGCCTAAACGTGGGACCTTGTATCCTATGTATAGCCCTGTTTATGAATAGATAATGGTTTGTACCAGCACCGAATATATTTGTATAATGTTATCATATCCCCTTCGAGGCACAGTTTTTCCAAACTAAAGAGATTTACATTTTTTAACCTTTCTTCGTAACTAAAATGCTCCATTTCTTTTATCAATTTTGTAGCTCGTCTCTGCACTTTTTCTAGTGCCATGATATCTTTCTTTAGAACAAGTGCCCAAAATTGCACAGCATATTGAAGCTGTGGTCTTACCAGCGATTTATAAAGAGGCAAACTTATATTTTCATCCCGAGAATTTATGCCCCTATTTATACATGACATAACCTTACTGGCCTTAGCAACGGCAGATTGACATTGCATATTGCTGCTTAATTTGTTGTCTATAACAATTCCCAAATCCTTCTCGTGTGTGGTTATCCCTATTCACTACCATTTAGGGTGTAAATTGCTTGTGCATTCGTAACCCCGAAGTGCATAACTTTGCATTTCTCTACGTTAAATTTCATCTGCCATTTTAGTGCCCATTCCCCCAATCTATGTAAATCCCTCTGCAGCAAAACAATATCCTGCTCACATTGTATTACTTTACAAAGTTTTGTGTCATCTGCAAACACTGAAACATGGCTTTCAATGCCTCTTTCAAGATCATTTATATATATTTACATTGACAACAAGAATGACAAAAGTCTGGCAGGCTGTAATTGCTGCACGTGGAGGATTCTTTGACAAAAGCTTGGATGACACAATTAATATTTCAATTAAAATTAATTATTTCTAACCTTGCCAGACTATGTTCTTACAACCAACAATCTATTATCTCCCTATGGTTTTAGTTATTGTATGTGAAATATCTATTTATTAACACCTGTCTCATTGTATATAGACTAAAATGCACCTGTAAGAGCTGTTAATATTTAATTTTCCTGAATATTTAATATGTCTAAATATAGAACATTGTACTGAATATGCTAACCACTATATATTTTGCAACTTTAAAAATCTCAATTAATTCCTCCAGATATAAATATATATATTTAATAGCACCTGTTTATTACATAATCAGTATTTGTCTATTGTTTCTTCTCAAAGAACACACAGTTTACAGTGTATGATTAATTATTCAAAAGAATAAAAATAGACTGTTATTAAGTGTAAAAATACCCCCCAGTTTCATAATAAATTGGATTCTTAGTGCTATTATGATTTATGGCTGTAGCGCCATTGTATCGAAGTGCTGTACATCTTGAGAATAAAAAATGACAAACAAATACATTTAATACATTTAACCCAACTTAATAAATCATGAATAATCAGCTGATAAGAGATGTGATGGACAGTGCCATTAATCATCAAGACATGAGCGTAAATTAAATAATATTACAGCACTGTACATGGCACACATGATGCAGTTTACTCACTTTACCAATAATTACAGAAAATCTGAACATAAATAACATATTTTTAGGCAAAATAGCCAGTTCAGAAAATGTTTGAGAACATTTGCAATTTGCCTTATATGTTGAATTCTTTTGTCAATTCTACACAATTGTAGGTTTGGCAAATAAGCCCACCCGATATCTGACTTATAGATTTTTGTTTGCAGAGGTAGTGAAAGTCTGCTGTCACCAATGTGTGGTGGGATGTCTTATAATTAAAATCTTTTAAAACGTAGCACTATATGCTAAAGATTAATAATATGCAATAAACATTTTATTTTCCGCTGTCAAGTGAAATTAAGAGGATCTATGGTACTTAACAGTGCGTAGAAGCTTTAGTGATACTGTGCGTCTCTTTATAAAGTTTATTTATACATCATCCTTCATGACAAAATGGTTTTACTGGTGACGAGTTAAGGAAAAAAACATCAAGATAAGTGAATCTTATTTTTTTAACAGAACATATGCAATAGCAAATAGCCCATCTGGATATAGTGTTAAAAAACGCATTTGCGATGGAAATTGTGATCTCACGTACTTGGATTGTTCTCCACAAAATGATTTAATACAGTTTTTTGAATATGTATCAATTATTTTATAACAGTGGTTCTCCACTCCAATTCTCAAAGTATATCAGTCATGAAGAGGTACCCAGAAGGACAAAATGTGTAAGCATCTATGTCAGGGGTTTGTCTTCTGCTCTTCTCATTTGGTCCTCACCTTGGCTTAAGCCATTGCTTTGATTTTGAGAATGCCGAAATAAAATGTAATATTAGTATTTGAATATCATCAGCTACAAGGTAAGTCCTCCAGATATTTTTTTATGTTTATATGTCTACTGAAACTGCCATTAACTAGGGAAACCGGAGTTTTGATTTTCTATTCAATTATCTACCAATATCTACCACTTTATAACAGGGCCACAGGTTTGCTGGTCCTTCAGTTAAAAAAAAAAAACATCGTCCTTTAGAGCACCATGCTACTTCTCTTAGTGCTTATTGGAAAAGGGAGGTCATGTACAAGGTCATTAGTGGTTAGTTGAGTTTTTAGGGGACTTTATAAGAGCTTCCAAATCACACACAGAAGAGAAAATAGCACAGTTAGTAAAAAAGGGGGACAAAACATTTTTATTTTATTTTGTAATTCTTTATTTTTCAAATGACAGAATTGACAAGCACATGAGTGTTGCGCAAAGGTATTGCATGGGCTTATGCAAAAGCCAAATTTCAAACATTGAAACCATACATCATTATACAGAAAAGTTTGTAGAGAAAGGGTTGTTAACTGGTGATGCAACATTAGTTTCTTCCTATGCGGTTCTGTTCTGTCAAGTTTTTATACAATTAAACTAAACTAAACAAGTTTGATTGCAACTGTAGGTAGCCTTGTAGTATCAAAAGAAGCAGAAATTGAGAGTTAGAAAAATAAGAAAAAAAAATATTAAAATTAAGGGTGAAGTGTGGTAGAGAGGCTCCATATTTTGGAGTCTTCGTGGTGTTGTAGGAAGGATGGGGGAGTGAACAGGTGTTCCTGACCTTTGTGTTGGGTGGTCTTTTGGTGTTGTGCATGTTTCCATGTCTCTTCCTTGATTATGGTCTACATGGGCTATATGTATATGTGTGTCTCTTTTTTTTTGTAATTCTTTATTTTCGAATGACATAGTTGACTAGCACATGAGAGTTGTGCAAAGATAATGCATGCATGGGCTTGCGCAGAAGCCAGAGTTCAAACATATCTTCAGTGCATCATTTTATAGAAAGGTTTATAGAGAACGGGATGTTGTCTGGTGGTGCTTTTTTAGTTTCTTTCTATGCATTTCTGTTCTGTCACGTTTTTATACAATTAAGCAAAGCTATACAAGTTTGAATGCAACTGTCGGTGGCATTGGAACAGCGTTAGAAAATTAGGGAAAGATTAAATTTTGTTGTAAATAACGTTAAGGATGAAGTGTGGTAGAGAGGCTCCATCTGTTGGAGTCTTCAATAGGGTTGGGGGGGGGGTGAGGGAGGCATTCCTGACCCTTGTGGTGTGCGGCCTTTTGGTGTTATGCATATTTCCACGCTTCTTTCATCATTGTGTTTATGAATGTGATTGTGGTCCCTATGGGCTGTGTGTGTTTGTGTGTCTTTTCTCTTGGTTGGTTACCTGTCTAATAGGTCTACTGTCGATTCGGTCCTTCCTTTATGTTGGGTTATAGGGGTTGGGCACAGTTTAGAGTTTTGGAGGGGAAGGGTAGTTTTAGTTTGGTTTGTGGTTTTTGTAGCTCGGCCTTGTCTCTCTTGAAGTCCTGGTTTCTTAAGTGGCCGTGGTGGGTTCCATGAGCCACAGGTCCCATATTTTGTTACAATGTGTTGTGGTGTCGTGAATGAGTGCTGATAGACTGTCCATCGACCTAGCTTTATTCAATTTCTTCTTAATGTCGGTGATTGACGGGACTGTGGGTATGGCTCTTCTAGTGGCTAAGGCTAGTTTGGCAAGTAATTTGTTGTGAGCCCATGGTGTGCTTTCTAGCGGTTTGGATAGTAGCCATAGCCATGGATCCCTTGGGATGGGGTTGTGGAACACTTGTGAGGCCAGGGCCACTATGTCTGTCCAAATTTGTGTGATGTGTGGGCATTCCCACCAAAGGTGGTAGTATGTCCCCTTTTGGCCGCACCCTTTCCAGCATCTATCCGAAGTGGAAAGTCCCATTTGTTTGAGTTTTAACGGAGTAAGATACCAGCACATAAGAGTTTTGTATGCCTGCTCTTTGTGGGTTACGCATATCTTTACCGTTGCTGTGGCTTCCCAGATTGCAGTCCAGTCTGTGGGGTCGGTGGGGGGTCCTAAGTCCCGTTCCCATGCTGAGACATACCCTAGCGGTTGAGTTTTTGTCGTTTTGAGCAGTTGTGTGTATATTGTAGAGATCTGGCTTTTTTGTATGGGGGCATGGATACATGATTGTTCAAAGGTGGTGAGGGGGGTAAGTCCGGCTTGTTTATATGTAGGAGTTTCCAGTAGGTTTTTGATTTGCAGGTAGCGGAAGAAGTCTTGTGTGGTGAGTGGTCTGGCTTGTGGTAAGTCCGTAAACGGTATGATTTTTTGATATATATATGAAGAAGTGATACGTCCTGATTAAGTCATTGTCTTCATAGTGTGCGAAGTCTTTTGGGGTCATGCCTGGTGTGAAGTGTTCGTTTCTCAAGATTGGTGTCATGGGTGAAGGGTCTGTCGTGAGTACGTGTTTTAT